GCTCTTCCCTGCACCGCAACCCCTTGATCCTCTTGTGTTCCTTTCTTCTCGTCTGTCCTCCTGAAAGGTGGCAACAGGTACCCAGGAGAGGAAGAGAGTATCTAGGTCTGAGGTACTTAAACACCTAGTGAAGATGCTACATCTGAGGGGCCAGTGGACGACGGTGCACGGGAGCAGACCACCGGAGAGTAGTGGGCCAGTCCCTACCTCAGAGTGGGCCAGAGAAATCAGGAACATCTGTGAGGCCTGACTGGGAAGATACCTGACAGAACCTCAAGGTGTTAGGCCTTACCCAGCAGGTCCAGAAGACCACAGAAAGTCCCAGAATGGGAAGATGTGATGACAGTGTGTGCAGTGCAGAATAAACCAGGGGCAGAGCACAGGTGCAACTGCGGGAGGGCCGTAACTGGAGCTAGACTACACACTGCCCTGAGGGCAGGAGATGCCAGGGATCAAGGCCGGCAGATTGGGGTAGCTGATCCACATGACAGACTTTGTGGCTCTAGCGTCAGATCCAGCAGCATGTAAAACAAACGAGGTGCGTGTGCATGAGCACCCAAAATCCCAAGGAGGTGAGTGAAGGAGAAGGGACTGTGGCATGACCAGCCTCCCTATGCATTCTCACTTTACATCTCTTATCTCCTCTCTCTCTCTGTCTCTCTCTAGTGAGTACAAACATCCTATAGCAAACTAAAAGAAAAAAAAAAAAAAGTGCCAGGAACCAATAGTGCCTTTTCAGGTCTTTAAGGTTCCTGGGTGATTTCATAGTAGGGATAAAACAGTCTTTTTTGTTTTAAACAAGATTTCTGTGTCTGAAAGCTTACACACTTACTTACTAAGTAAAAATGATAAGCCACCAAAGTATCTCAATCTATAACATTTGGGGTTTCCTCATTTCCCGCTTAGAAGTTTCACTTACCAAGGAGAGACTGGGGGGGCCACACTTCCTCAGTCATGAATCACACTCGGACTCCACAGTTGCATGGGCACACAGACCACTTCTCACACGCTGGTGCTTCAAAAAACAAGAGCCAAGAGCGAGATCTTGTTAACCCATTTTATAAGAGGTTGTGGCCTTTGGTTATCAATTCTAGGAAGTTCTATTAACAGCCTGCAGAACCAGCACAAGGTGCTTTAACAATGGAGAACTTTGAGCAGAGTGACAGAGGACAGCCAGGTCACCCCGAAGAGCATACCATTTGCACTGAGCCCCTTCCTTCTTCGTAAAAAGAAAAATTTGAATGCTATTAACAGATGAAGACAACTCTCATGAAACATCCAAAAGAACCATTATTTTAAACCTGCTGTAATTACTTTAAGCCGGTTAAAACCGAAATTCAGATTGATTGCCAGATTTTACCCTTTTATCATTCTTTCATTTCATTCTTTGGTATAAAGCACCTTAAGCAGTGTGTTTCTGAAATAGGAGGGAAAGGCAGTTGGTATTGAATAAACTATACCAGCAATTTGGGTTTGTATTTTTATTTACATATTAATTTATTTGGTGCACAATTATAGGACTTTATAGAAAAAAAAGAATCATAAATATACAGGCCCTGTCCAGTATCGCAGTGGTTAAGAAAGCTGAGTCCTGCAGGACCAAGCATGGTTTGAATCCAGGTCTGGAGACTTGAAAGCACGCCAGGTGCATGTGTGTGTGCCCAAAATCAAGACAGGGTGGAGCAAAGATAGGGAAGGGAAGGTGCTGGGACCGAACCCCACTGAGGAAGGATTTCTCTCTTTCTCTCTGGCAAATGCACATATCCTCTGGCAATAAAAAAGGAATCATAAATCATTAAAACCATTCACGTTACCAAAACCAAGCCCACCTGTCTGATCTCCTCATTCAACTTCATATATAAACATCCTAAAACCTTACATTGTAATTGATGGAAACTCTTCAGCAAAACCCCAGCCTCTCTCAAAATATGTATCCCAAACTGAAAGAAATGGGCTACTTCCTATTAGTCTTCCACAAAAATTAAACGGGCCCATTTTTGTGAAGACACCCGTGCCTTCCAATCCCCCACGTGGAGGCGCCTGCATTTCCTCTTCTCCCAGCGCATGCACTCCTTCCTCTACTCTCCCTGCTCTGAGGCTCTGGCTGCTGTGACGGGAAACACACTGCTCACTGCTCCCGCTGCACACTTAGGGAGCAGCTGAGGACGATGGAGGGAAAGTGGGAAGGACTTCTCAGAACTTCCTGGCTGTTCCTCTAGGCCATGAGTCCCACACTGTCCATTTCAGTAATAACCCAAAGGCCAGCTGCCTACAGAAAGTAATTCGATTATAGCAGCTGGAAATTTATAAGATTTTATATCTGCTGAAATACGATTTAGGAAATCCTGGTTGGTTCAGAGGCCGAAGAGCAATATTAAGCATCTTCTGCATAAGGCTCCGTACCTCCAGAGAGCCTTCATGAGTTTATAGGAAGCCAAGGGATGACTGAGGTTCACTGGGAACTGTCCCTGCACTCCCCTGAGCCCGAGCAACCCAGGTGTGCTCACCACACAGTTTCGCCAACCCTGTGGTCCCAGCCGTCTTCTAAAGTCACTGACATCATCCTCTGGAAAGGACCAGGTGCAGATGCGAATCATCAAGGCCAAAGAGGAGTCAGGGAGCGCTCCCTAAGGTAAGGAGGAACGCTCAGTTCGGAAAAATTCCTAGGAGTAGCCAAGATCTTTCTCACAACACCAATAATCTTTCTTTTGGGTGTGGCAACCAAATATGTTCATTGGGACTTCTTTATTAAATGGCATGTTCAAATACATGAACTTCCTCTCTTGAACTCTAAGATCTGTTTTACAACAATTACCACTGCAAGAGTCTTCTTTTGTTTGTTTATATCATAACAGCATTTTAAGGAAGAAAGCTGGACGGATCCACTGGTTCCTGCCTAGGATTATTGGCAATTTCTATTAGCTCCCACATGACATAATTATGTTGCAAACAGGGCCATAGGTCTCCTCTCCTCTCCCAGGGGGTCATGTATGAACCACTCTGGCCCCTCAGCTGGACATCCAACCCAGGTCACACCTGCAGCAGCCAGTCCATTCTTATAAACAGCTAAGGAGTCAGGGCCAAAAGAACCCAAGAAGAAAACCAAGAAGCTTTGATAGGGCTAGAGAGCAAATGCCTCAGGAGAACCCCCTGCTGCATGCAGGCACAGATGACCACACCTGTAGGCCACTCTGCATCTAACCTTCCATAGGAAAAGGCAATGCTTGGGGGAGAGCTAACATGGATTGGGGAAGATAACAATTCCCTTCAAAATTTGAACTCTTAAGTTGAATTCATTCCCAGCCACAGGATTTAGAGGCACACTCCCTCAAGGTTCTTACCCTGCCATTGTTTACAACCCAGTGAAAAAGACCTCTGACCAACCTGGCATCTGATTCTCAAACTAGCAGCCCCAGGACCTTGTCCTCCTGCAAGCCAGCCCAGCCAGCTGGGAGCTCAGACCACAGAGGGGGTAAGCACCACTGGCCAGACAGACGCTCAGCAGTTCACCCATGTGGCCAAGGAGTGGGCTCAGGAGCTAAAAGAACAGAGGGCAGTCGCCTCAGGTCAGAGGCTGAGCTCTCTTATCCACCCCCACTGAGGTCATAAATGAACTGATATATAAATCACAAATCTCTGACATGCTTCCTACGACAGAGGAAAGAAAGTCCAAAGGTAAAGAAACTCCAAAGCCCAAGGTTCACCCCAGGCTGGAAGAAAGAGTATTTCAAAGCAGACACTTAATTACCCATTTAATAAAAAACTACTTATGTTTTATGAACATATAAATTTCCCTACTTGACTCAATTCTCTATTACCCTATTGGGCTCTCTTTTAGCTAGTATTAACCTTGGAACAAACAACCCTCTCTGATGTCCTCTGACATCTTTCCTTAGAGTTCTGCTCCAAAGAAAACTGCCACTGTGAATGTAGGTACAGAACTGTCAGTACAAAATGTTTTGGTTTACAAAAAATAAACCTCTCCCAGAAGTTTTACCTGGTACAACTTTCATATCTTAAAATTGTCTCTAAATGGAAATGCATAAATAAAATTGAATCATCAATTTTCGTGTACCATGTGCCCCTCACTGCTTGGCTTTCTGTTGAAATATGCAACCTTCCCCTGCCCAGCCTATTCAGAAGGAAGAAATGGTGTGCAGCTATACACTCGTGGAGGGACTGAAGGTCAGCCAAGTGGCAGCTTTTATATTCCAGAAACATGAGAGAAATTAACATTTCAGGCCCATCTTAGGAACTCAACTTGGAGACTATATAACAGTCAAATTATACTGGAAATAAAATGAAAATGGACAAGATGACTTGGCATCATAAAGTTTAGTGGAGTGATGAAAAGAAATCCACCAGATACAGGCTCAGAAAACCCAGAAATATCTAAGCCAGAGCTTCCCAACTTGCAAGAATTTTACCCGTAGCTATGATGTAACTGGCAGATGTCGTGTCATCAGTCAGTCAGTCGGTTGGTCAGTCAGCCCCTATGCATAGCACATTCACAAGGCCATCCATAGAGTGGGTCAGAGACAAAGCAAGAACCAAGCATGCTCTTAGAAACTCACATAAGACATTACATTTTTTCCACCATACTTCGGCAAATACTATGAAGTTGGAAGAAGGAGAGATCATTTTCAGGAAGAAGAGTCAAGGAAAGCTTCCTTTAAAAAATGGAAATGCAATTCAGGCTTTGAGGGATAAGTAGGAGATAGGTAGAACAGCAAAAGAGATGATGAGGTATGTTTGCATTGAAGGATTACAGATGAAGCAAATAGTAGATTAGGCAGGACCATTTAAGAGTCATCACAGTAAGTGAACACCCAATCTGAACAGCCCATGCTAAGCTGGGGCATGCATGTCTGGTTCCACCCCTGGGGTTGGGTGAATTGATGGAAACCCCACCATGAGGCCATCTGAGATAAGAGTCTGCAGGAGTGCAGACTGAACTGGGACAGGTAGAGGAGAAAAACAAGTCTGCAAAGGCAGAAAGTCAAGACCACACAGCAGATGGAAATCTAGCCTGGTACTCAAGTCTGTGGAACAAAAGAAGGAAGTGAACCAGAAAATGTGTCCCAGGTGGGAGGCCAAAGAGAAGGATGGTGGCATCAGGATCGTGCAGAGGAAGCAGAGCTGGACTACAACAGTGGGTGCCAAAGTCACCATCCAGGCATAAGGTCACTCCCATGCATGGCTAGGTGGAAGTGAAGGATGTAAAGGAGAAATTCAGACCTGAAGTTCAAGCTTCTAACCTGAAAGTCTTAGAGAATGGAGGCACCATTTAAAGAGTGTGCCTATGAGGCTCCACTCAGAGATGGTCAGGGACTCCCAGTAGGCTGGCTAATGTGGCTTGGAGCCCAAACATTAACATTAGAAGCCCAGGAACATTCGAAGTGATATACAACTGGTATATCACTTTGGAATTATTCAGACAAAAATATATTCCATATTATCAGAAATATATTAACTCTAAAACAAAGTTTAAAATATTTAAAATACAGTATTCCCCCCTTATCTATGCTTTCTCTTTTCACAGTTTCAATTTTCTGTGGTCATACAAAGCCTAAAAACATCAAATGGAAAATTCTAGAAATAAACAATTAATACATTTTAAATTGCATGCCATTCTGACTATAGCATGATAAAATCTTGCACCATCCCACTCTGTCCTTACTGAGAGAAATCTTCCTTTCATTTGGTATATCCTCACTGTTCCCATCACTTGCCCATTAGCGATTTAGCAACCATCCTGGTCACCAGGTCCACTGTCCTGATATGTCAGTGCTTGTGTTCCAGTGACCTTAATTTACTTGACCATGGCCCAAAACACCAGAGTAGTGATACTGGCAATTTGGATATACCAAGTAACGAGTGTACTTAAAGCACTTTCTTTAAGTGAAAATGTGAAAGTTCCCTACTTAATAAGGAATGGGGAAAATTCATATGTTGATGTTGCTAAGCTCTACAATGAGGATAAAACTTCTATTCATGAAATTGTAGATTGTTTTG